CTAGGGTGGCTACTACCGCGGCGTAGGTAGTCGGATATACCAAAGATCTGTGCCCAATCCAGATGAGCGCTAATAGTGCAAAGTGGATGAACCACGTGGAGGCGATGCTTATTGAGGCTATCGTGACGACGAACGGGTCCTGCATTTTGTGTGCCGACCGGTCGGTGCCTAGATCTAACCTTTTTCTCACGATCCGCCCATTTCCCCTCCCCCAAATCTTCAGATGGCAGGCCGGGTGACGTGGACATGGACCTTCGGCGTCATCGTCTGCCCTACGAGGACCAGAAATCTTCAATTTTAACCCCGACAACGGATAAGCTTCATCAAGAGCTTACGTGCGATCGTCGTCACCCCGCGCGTCGAGTGCTCCAACCATGAGGAAGCTTGATTGACGACATACCCCGTCGAGGTGCAGATGCGGGCACACGACTGTGATTCGTGACACCGTCAGCACTGAGCAGAGGGTAACACACATTAAGGTGTATGGCCGGCCGGCCGACCCCGGCTCGGAGCGATAACCGAAGCGGCCAGCATGGGAACTTTTGTCAGCGTAATATCGGGGTGAAGATGGTCCACCTCCACTACCTTGCGAAGTGATTGCGAAGAAATGTCAACTGTGAGAGAATGAGACAGAAAAAAGACGAGTACCAAAAGACAATAGCTTCTTCCTGCCGTAGGCATCCAATCCCAGTCGACCACTCTCCCAACAATCTGACAGAAGTACCCTCTGTGCCTCTTCACAGTTGCTGTCGGGCGCGGCCCTGCTCCACCCCTCCACCTCTGTCCAATTGAGTTTGATGCTACCGTTAACCAGCTTCCTGTTTCGTTTTGGGCGCACAGGCGTGTATCACGCAAGCCTACCAAACCAGCGTATTCGCAGGCGGCAGGAGTCAAGCATTTTCTGGCGGTGGTGCTACTGCGTAAGTCAAGCATCGCGGGGCCCGTTTGCTTAGTTGCTAAGACGCAGAGTCCCCGCCTCCGCCATCCACCGCTGTGTCGGTACGCGGTCTCATATCTCCCTGATCTGCAGGCTGACGAGTCGCCCCCTCCTTTGCAGCAGTCATGTCGAGCATGCTGTCGCCGTATCGGGTACAGGCGCCGGTGCGAACACCAAACACTGCTGCTATCGTAATTTTTCCTCGAGTTCCAATCCAAGGTAAGGTATGCGTAGTGTGTCTTGCGTCTTCGGCGGCCGCGGCTGGATGACTGACCGGGGGTGTTTCTGCATGGCTATCTCTGCTCGTAAATTCGCAATCGCACGGCGGGTGGTTGGGTTTGGGTTGACCGATGTCGAGGCCGGTTAGCCGCAGAAGGAACGGGACTGGACTTGCCTCATTCAACGGTCCTGCCCGTGCCGCCGCTGTATCTCTAAGCCGACTCTTTTCCCTTTCTTACATTCCTCCCTCCCGAACTTCCCCTCCTACGTACCTGCCAACGCTGGAACACGCAACTATCGTCGTCTTCCTCTGCTTTCCCATCACCACCAACACCGAACCCCGCCTTACGACGGCAGCTTGCGCGCATTGTTTTCCCTTCTTACACAATTACAATTCGCATTGTAAGCTAAGCCGTCTTCAACAAGAAATTCTCCGAGGAAGTCGAAGCCGTGCCGTTTTGGTCTTGGCAATCCGTTTTACCCGTCCCTCGACACTGCGCGTATCAGCCAAGCCCGTTGCGATTCAGCACCTGTCAAACCTCTTGTCAAAGGAGGTGTGAGAGACGGGACTGACCGTTCAGACCCTGAGGTTACCGTCGCAGTTTGTTTTGGGACGAATTTCTGAAGTGGGTGTAAGGGGCTGCCGTCTCAAGAGCCCAGCGAAAAAGCTCAAACAGTAGCTGCAATAAGCTGTGACCCCGGCATTGAAGAAACAGGGAGCGTAGTAGTAAAGCAGAAACCATCTGAAGGGAAGGGACACACACAGGCACACAGACACACAGGCACAGACAAGTCAGTCAGGCAGAGGGAGAGAGGCAAGATCGAAACGGTACACAAATAGAAACAGGCCTTGCTCTTGGGCTGCTGCCGTCGCCATGCCGGCCCCGTATTCCGACAACCTGTACTCCGCCGACGACTCCGATTTCGAGGTCCCGGACGACGACCTCGACGTGCACCTGTCGCCCACAGACGGCTACTTCCAGAGCTCATCGTCGTCAGCGGACAACCTCTACCCTCCGCAACAGGAACAGGAGCTGCAGCAACACCAATATCATCGTCGTGACCACACCACCGACAACGTCACCGACGCGACGCTGCCCACCTCCGCCGGCGTCCCGCATGTACCCAACGTCCTCGTCCAAGATCCCTCTCTGCAGCTGCAGCAGCAAAAGTCCTCCAAGAAGGACACCGAGGCTAGGGAAGAGACAAGGTTAAACGCCTCGCCGCATACGTACGATCGAGGTACCTCGTCGATCGAGAACGACGACTACCACTACGACGACGGGTTCTCTTCCATCGGCGACAGCGTAGCCACGCCGTCCCACACGACGACGTACACCTCCCACGCCCAGAGCTCGTCGTCTTATACGCCGTACTCGCCGTCCACCGACACCCCGCTGCGCACTCCCAGGACACACCCAAGAAGGAGCCTCTTCTCCCATACGCCATCCCTCTTCAACATCCCGCGAGAGGCACCGCCGGCTTACACGCCCTCGCCCACGTCGCCGCTATCGTCGTCATCCCCAAGAGAGTTCAGGAATTACCAGACCTTCTCTCCCGTATTAGCCATGGGGGCCTCAGAGGAAGCGCGGCACCTGCTGGGCCGCGACCCCGAAAGCATGGGAGGCGATGAGCCCTACCAAGACGACGAGAGGCCGCTGCCGTGGAAGGACAGGGTCCTTAAGAGGTTCCCGTGGGCGTCGAGAAGGACGCTGAAGATGGTGCTCTTCGCCCTGTTGATGTTTTCCATCTTTGTCGGCTTCTTAAGTATGTTGAGCGGGACCGTGAGCCACTCGGTAGGTGACATTCTTTTCCAAGACTTTTGTTTTCTATTTTCATCAAAAACTCTGTCTCTCAATCTAACACACACCTAGTCTCCCTCAAAGGAGCCCGCCAAGAACTTCGACCCTGTCACCGGCCTCCCAATCAAAGATGGGCCCGAAGCTCCTGCCGAGCCTTCCAATCCCACCACGCCGTCGCAGCCCGGCTCCGGCCCAGCCAGACCTCTCCCCTGGCGACCTCAGTCCGCCTGCGCCCAGAACGAGCACCGTTTCGAGACCAGAGTCTTCGACGTCGGCTTTGACTCGTCCAAATCGCTGAGCGTCCTCCAGACCGTTCAAGAAGGCAAGCAGCCCTCCCACGGCGGCTACCGGCCCGACATCACCGGTGACATTGTCGTCCGCCGCCAGCTCTCCGACAGCCCCGGCCCGTCGGTCGAGGTCGAGGTCGTCGGCAACGACGAGCGCCTGGACGTCGAAATTGAGTGGGACGCCAAGATCCAGCAGCTCCGCGTAAAGGCCCCCGTCGCCATCGAATGGAGCCAGACCTCGCAGCCGTGCATGGCCATCCGGGCCACCGTCTGGGTTCCCGCCGACGCCGAGCTCAACCAGCTCACGCTCGCCGCGTTCCACCTCGGTGTGCGCTTCGTTGACGACCTCGCCGTCTCCGTGAAGGACACCCTCGAGATCCGCACCTACGCCGGCGACGTCCGAGTCCCCGGAGGCACCGCCGCTGATTCCTCTGCCTACCGCCTCGACGCCCGCAACATCGTCGTGCAAACCATCTCGGGCGACATCGCCGGCGGCTGGCCCCTCTTCGACTCGCTCAAGATCCGCTCCGAGTCGGGCGACATCGCCGCCGCCGTGCAGCCCAAGCCCGTTCTCGAGTCGCGGCCGCTGCCCGCCGTGCTCGAGGTCTCGTCCGTCTCGGGCGACGTCTTCGTCAAGCAGCCCCTCGACGAGGCCGCCAAGAGCGCCAAGCCCGATACTGTCATCCCGCCACGCAACTACATCACCTCCATCGAGACGAAATCCGGCATGATCCGCGCCTGGGCAGCGTTCAGCACCGCCGCCGGGATTAAATCCGTCTCGGGCGACATCGGCGTCACACTTCTCCCCGTCTACGACCTCAGTCTGCTACCGTCCACGACCGCGGCGGAGCCTGAGCTTGTGACCACGACGAAGTCGGCCAACATCGCCGTCACCGTTCTGGAACCCCTCTGGGTCGAAATCGCAAAGACGCTCTCCCGCGGCGAGAGGGAGAAAGAGAGGGCGAACCCCAACCTCCCCGTCGACATCCCCACCAACCCGCTCCCCGTCCCCGACATCCCCGCCAAGATGCCCCGCATCCCGCATATCCCCAACATCCCCTTCATCCCCATCGGCGCGCGCGACCCGTACCGCAACTTCCCGGGCTCAGACCGCCGCTGGAGCGACCTCATCCCAAAGAGAAGCAGCCCTCCTCTCACCGAGGTCTCTTCTTCATCCGTCAGGCAGGCAGTGGCAGCGCCCCCGCCCATGCGCCACCTCAAATCCGTGCACGACACCATTAGCGGCAGCCTCAAGATCGTCTACCCGGCCTCGTGGGAGGGTGCCATCGACGCCACGAGCGTTAGCGGCGACATCAACATTCGCGGGCAGGGCGTCAAGTTCGACAGCCACACGAAGTGGCCCAAGTCCGTGAAGGCGCACAAGGGCCAGGCGTGGACGTGTTCCGCGAAGCTGAACAGTGTGAGCGGCAACGAGGAGCTCATCATCGGTCCGGCGTGAACTGCCTCGAGGAGTTGAGGCTTGTTGCGTGATATTGCATACGAGAAAATGAACGCAAGGAGGGGAGGGATATCCAGATATGCGGGAAATATACTGGACGAAGAAGCAGACATGAGAATGCGGCATACCATGTGAATAATACCAGTCGTTAACGATTCAGGATTTGGAGTCTTTTTTTGGTTGGGGGTTTGCGAAATACCGGGCACAATCATGACCCTCAATATCATTTAGTCGAAATAAATCATTTCATATATACCTATATTCATAAAACATGTGTCCAGCTACATCCCGCTGAATCAGTCACGCACTCGCGCAAAGGGGGTATCATTTTTTGCAACAGCCTCCCTCCCAAACTCCATATCCATCGGCCCTGACGCCGCCACCCTCTTCCTCCTCCTCGTCGTCCTTCGTCTGCGCGGCTTCTCGTCCTCCACAAGCCCCCGGAACCGCTCCTCGTCCCCTTTATCCAACAACCCCCACTCCACCCTTCGATACCTCGCCTCAACCTTGACCCAGCGCTCCATCCCCGGTAAATGCACGCCCAGCGTCGGCAGCGCCAGCATCCTCAGTACCTCCTGCCCCGTATCTTCGTCCCGGTTGACCGCATACAGCGCGGGCAGGGTATACCGCACCTTCCCCGGCGCGAATCGCTTCAGCGTGCCCTCCAACCTCACGCGCTCCTCATCACTCCCCAAACTCTCGCGGAAGGCCTTGGCGTGCTGCGCGGAGAAGGGCAGCACCCTGAAGACAGAGCGCACGCGCCCGCGCACGCGGACCCAGAAGCGGCCGTCCCAGAGCTGGAAGCGGCGCCATTTGTGCCAGCCCGGTCCGGCGTGCGCGGGGACGGGCAGGGGCTCGCGGTGCAGCTGGTGCAGGAACTCGAGCTGCGTGAGGCCGTTGGCGGGGAGCGTTGTGGCGTGCCCGTTGGCGTCGATCCAGGTGCACCCCGGGCGAGGGCCGGGCGGGAACTGCGGGAAGTTGCGGTTGACGCCGGCGCTGGTTGTGACTTGGGTCACGGCCGGGAGCGGTTGCAGGGAGGGGTAGGGCTCGCGGACGAGGTACCATTTTGAAGGGGACGAGGGGCCTGGGACGGGGAGGAAGAGGACTGCGGCGTGGTTGAATGACTTCCGCGGAGAGGGGGAGGGGGAGGGGTAGAGGGCGGGGAAGAGGCGCGCGACGACGGTTTGGAGGGAGGAGAGCTGGGCGTATTGTTTGTCTGGGGAGACGAAGGAGAGCAGGCGGCGGACGATGAGGGCGGCGATGGTCCGGCGGTGGGATATGCGCATCTCGCGTCTCGCCTTGGCGGCATGTCTCCGTCTCGGGGGCGGCACGGCCATGGACGGGAGGCTGACGACGAGGGTGCCCACGTTCGGCTCAAAGTCGCCCTCCACGGCGCGCAGCACCCACCGCTCCGCCTCGGCCTCCTGCGCGCGGATCCGCGCGTCGCATCTTGCCGACAGCCGCAGCACATTCTCCTTCCGCAGCGCCCGCGGGAGCGCGTGCCCCTTGACCATGTGCCGCACCGCGTTGCGCAGCGTCAGCGTCGGGTCGGCGTTCGTGCGGTCCTCGAACCAGCGGATGTTGTGCCGCTCGCACGTCGCGCGCAGCCGGTCCTTGCTGAACCCCAGCAGCGGGCGGTAGATCATCACGCCGGCGTCCTCGATGGGTATGCGCGCGAGGTTGCGGATGCTGCTTGCCGCCCTGGCCCTGGCTTTCGCGGAGGCCGTGGCCGCGACGGGGTCCTGCTCCGCGTACGGCGTCTCGTGCCAGCCGAGCTGCAGCCCGGCGCGCAGCTCGGCGGCGGAGAGGGCGAGGTCGAGCTCGGAGTGCAGCTCGGCGCGGACGTGGTGCCAGTCGCGCTTCGACGGGCGGAAGGAGACCATCGGCATGCGCAGCGCCTGGTCGTCGACGTGGCCGGACTCGTGGACGCCGTGGATGTCGCCGCACTCTGGTATGGGCGCCTGCGGTGCAATCCCGCGCAGCCCGCGGGAGCCGTGGCCGGCGAGCAGGCGCATGAGGACGGTTTCGTAGTTGTCGTCCTCGTGGTGCGCCAGGAACACGCTCTCGATGTGGCGGTCGCGGCAGACCTTGCCGATGGCGCGGTAGCGGGCCCTGCGCGCCAGGCTCTCGAGGTTCGGGGCCTGCGCCGGGTCGCCCTCGACGCCGAGCTGTTTCCAGACGACGGTCTCGACGACGGGCTGGATGTGGCGCAGGGCGCGGAGCTCCTTGGCGACGGCCTGGGCCTCGTCGGCGGACTCGGGGCGCAGGCCGTGGTCGACGATGACGGCGGTGATTTTGGAGAGGGGGTTGTCTGCGATGCGCATGAGGGGGTTGACCTCGCGCAGCTGGTTGAAGAGCGCGGCGAGGGCCATGGAGTCGAGGCCGCCGGAGACGGCGAGGGCGATGCGGCGCGGCTGGACGACGCGGGCGTGCGGGAAGCGCGGGGTCGCGGTGGCGCGGACGACGTTGAAGAACTCGAGGAAGGTTATGTGTTTCGGGACCGCCGGGTGGAGGAGCTGGGATGGGGCGATGAGAGACGACATTTTGGCAATGACATCGTTGGTGGTGTTTGTATGGGTTCTGGCGTGTGTAGTGAGGTAGGTGGTGGTTCGGGAAGTGCGTGGTCGTCGGCGGGGAGGTTCTGTTCGCGACGGGATCGTGAAGTTGAAAAATGGCAAAGTGGGATGGTGAAGCTTGACAGTTGCAATTGGCGAATCAACGCTGCGAAGCTTAGGTACCTAGCGTGGGACGAAAGCTTTCCCGGGGGGCGCTCGGGGCAGCACCCGAGCTGGACCTTGCCCAGAAGGACCCCTGCCGGTATTTTTTTTCCCTTGCGTACAGGGGACGAGACCCGAGGAGGGGACCGATCGAGCTCCGATATCACGGCGATAGCGCAGCAAACGACGAACCCGCCCGCCGCCAGCTTGCACTTACTTCCCCCTCCTCCCACGAGCGATGAACACGACGCGACCTTGACCTCCAAACCAGGCCTCGGGCCTTTTCCTCAACCACCACCACACGAATCTCCCGTCCTACTCGACGACCCTGCCGACAACCAGCTCCCCCGCGCCCGAGCACGCGACACACTGGAAAAAACCCCAGCGAAAACCCCTCCCCCAAAGAACGGCAACATGTCGTCCGCAACCCCCCCCTTCACAACAGCCCTCCTCGCAGGCGCCCTCGCCGGCACGACCGTCGACCTCTCCCTCTTCCCCCTCGACACCCTCAAGACCCGCCTGCAGTCCTCCGCTGGCTTCTTCCCCTCGGGCGGCTTCACCGGCATCTACCGCGGCATCGGCTCCGCCCTCGTCGGCTCCGCCCCGGGCGCCGCCTTCTTCTTCTGCACCTACGAGGGCTCCAAGGGCGTCATCCAGCGCAAGCTCGCCTCCGCGGGCGACAAGAAGTGGACCGACCCCGTGTCGCACATGCTCGCCGCGTCCCTCGGCGAGGTCGCCGCCTGCGCCATCCGCGTGCCTACCGAGGTGGTCAAGCAGCGCGCGCAGGCGGGCCAGCACGGCGGCAGCAGCGCCGCTGCGCTGCGGGGGATCCTGAGTTTGTACTCGACGAGCGCGGGGCTCGGCGGCGTGTGGCGCGAGCTGTACCGCGGCTGGGGCATCACCGTCCTGAGAGAGGTGCCCTTCACTATCATCCAGTTCCCGCTGTGGGAGCGGCTGAAGCGCTGGGGCCGCGAGAGGAAGCAGAACAAGAACTGGAAGCTCGACGGGAAGCAGACCGAGTACGAGGTCTCTGCGGTCGAGAGCGCGCTGTACGGCAGTGTCGCCGGTGCGGCCGCGGCGGGAATCACGACGCCGCTGGATGTGCTCAAGACGAGGGTCATGCTGAGCAAGGAGAAGGAAAAGGTCGGAGACGTTTTGAGGGGTATTTATCGACAGCACGGCATCCGCCCCTTCTTTGCGGGAATAGGACCGAGAGTCATGTGGATCAGCATCGGAGGAGCCATCTTCTTGGGAAGCTACCAATTCGCGGCGAATACGCTTACTGGAGCGGTGCTGTGAGGCGGAGGAGACATGGTGGTTGCGGACGAAGGAATGAATATGCATTGGAGGCCACTCAACGTGCCTCCCGCCTTGTATGATACGAGCACTTTGCCAAAAAGGCCGTGCTTGCCAACTTTTCCGCTATGTACATTACTAGAAACGCCTAATACCCGTGCTGATAGAAGTCATAGAAACGCCAGGCTGCTTATGCCCGGATGATGCTTGAGCCACAATTCCCTCTCTGCGGATGGCCTCGAGCCTAAGCTGTCGCATTCGGAGGCGTCTCAGTGCCCTGCGAGGGGGCTGGCTCGGGTTCAGGGGCTGCAGCAGGCTCAGGTGGCGGGTTGGGAATCTCCTTGCGCCCGTTCGCCTTGTAGTAAAGCTGGACATCGCTGCTCCCTTTCCAGATATGAGCGCGGAGGGTTGCGAGGGTCATGGTAATAGGTAACAACTGTGATTGTTAGTCACATCCAGCCTTAATAAAGGCAAACCAACTTACCTGGTCATTGCAGTAAAGCTCCAAGTATTCATGCGGCATGAGAGCGTCTGGCTCGGGGTTCTCGACAGGTGTCTCGATGCGTTCAGCGACATATGCCAGGATCTTCTTCACGCGGAGCATCCTGTTGGCGTTAAGGCGGTTGTTGCCGTCCGTGGACGCAATATCCGGCAGGCTGTTTTGCCACGGCTGCAAGACGAAGGAAACCTTCACAGGCTCCTTTGGTGGAATCTGATTTTGAAGCAAAACCTCGCCGAGCCACATCGGCCCCCGCTCCTCAAAGAGGTCAGTCCCTTGACCAATCGTTTCTACGGTTCCTTGGTAGATGTTGGCGCTGCCACCGGTCGTCTCCTCCTGAAGGACGACTTTCGTTCCGGGAGGCAGCTTCAACACAGGCGTGTCATTGGGCAGGCTTGGCGTAATCTTGGTCTCGATGAGCTTGTCCGGGTTCTCGGTTAAGGACTTGTCGTAATCGTTGCGGATCTTCTGGATAGCCCCCAAGAAACTGTCGTCAACCTCCTTCTCGTGTGTCGACGATGCTTCAGACTCCTCTGCCTTCTCGTCAACGACAGCAGGCTTCTCTGGCGCTGTTGTAGAAGCCGAACGTCCAATCTTCTTGCTTCCGAACGACATCCCCATCCCCATGCGGAATTTCTTGCCAAACGGCGTACTGGGGCCCTTTCCATTAGCATCCTTCTCTTTGTCCTTCTCGTCCTTCTTATCCTTGTCTTTTCCCTTCTCTTTCGAATCTGCGTCGGACTTGGAATCGGCAGCAGGCGGTTGTTCTGTCGCAGGCGTGGCTGGCGCCGCGGTAGGCTTTGAAGCACCTTCTATGGGGCCAATAGCACTAGTGAAGTAGTCTTCTTTCTCCGTAGACGGACGGCTGAACTGGGATGACTTCTTGTCGAGGGGGCTAGCAGGGGTTGCAACTCCTTCGGGAACATCCTGAAGCTTACCCCCTGCGCCAGGTGTAGCAAGGCCGATAGCCATGCCGGGAGTCATCGGGTACTGCAAGCCATTTGCTCGGGGAGTGCCCGTGTTCTCATCCCACGTTGGAGAGCCAGTGGGAATGGCTATTGACGATGGCGGGTTGGCACGGCTTGCTGCCAGCTTACGTTCTACCACCTCGTTGAGAGTTTGACGATACGCCTCGTCACGCTTGATCTCTTCGTCGATCAAGCCAGCAAAGAGATATCTGAGGACCCATTTACCAAGGTTAACTGCAACTGGTCAGCATCCGTCAGTTATCAATATGGGTGAATCTTACTTCTCTGGTCTTCTCGGAATTCGATAGGCTCCTCCAAAGTCAGCTCATCCGCGTACATCTCAGCGTCAAAGCAATTATATGGTTCCAAGACAACCGTAAGACTACCGGAGCTGATGTCAATGGAACACCACGGTGCAACTGCCTCCGTAGTATTAATCTCAGGTTCGACATCTTCAAGATGTCTTTTGCCAAAGCTTTGAATAGGCTCGCACTACACAAGTTAGTCGTTGCAGTTAACTTCCTTCCAGCCAACGCACCTTTATCAGGTCCCAGAGAAGAACATCGCCTGCCGTATCCAGCGTCAAGACTCTTCTCCTATCGTTTAATAGCTTATGCTTGACTAGTCCGAATTGACCCTCGATAGTCTCTTCGGGGTTCTGGTTAATGGGTATGGGCTCCGTTCCCTGCGGAGCATTTGCGCCTGCCACAGGAACGGTCTCGGGGGGAGGATTGGTCGGAATAGGGAAAGCTGCCGTATTGGAGATTCTCAAAATCGACCTTGGCGAAATTTCCTTCTTTGAGGCATCCGCTGGAGGCGGGCTCGAAGGTTGCCTGGGTCTCGAAGCCGTCGAAGCGGCCCTCTGCCGTCTGAATGCCTCAGGGAGTTGCAGATCTGGGCCAGTATCAACATTAGACCACCTGTTGATGGATGAGGTATTTGTCGCCGTCCAGATGTAGTCTCCCGCAGCGACGACTTTGCTGATAGAGTGAGACTCGTGCGCGACAGCAACCGAAAGGCCCTCGTCAATGTCCTCGAAACTTCCCCGCACGTCCGTCTTGACGACGAAGCCAGCGCGATCACTGCTGTAGAAGGTACCCAGCTCAGGGTCGTCTGAGAAGAGTGACCAGACGCTGTCCTCATGCATTGTGAACGTGTACATGCAACGACCGGCCGTGACACTCCACAGCTTGATGGTATGGTCAGAACTGGCAGTCAGGACCTTGTCGCCGGCCTCGTTGAGCAAGATGCCACGAATAGTGCCCGTATGACCGACAAATTTGGTAACTCTATGGCCAGATCGGGGGTCCCAAAGGCGCACGACCGACTCGGGTCCGCCGTTGGCCATAATGTGGTGGCCGACACTCAGAGCGTAGATAGAACCCTTCTCAGCGACTTCATCCCCCTTGGTATCAATCTCGAGAGTCTTTCCACCGCCGTTGAGATCCCACAGATAAATCTTGCGGTCGAAACCGCCCGAGGCAACCCAGTTGACTGAACCGCCTGGGGGTGTAGCAACACACTTGACATAGTCGGCATGCTCGCCGATCTTGGCCGCGTTATCGTTCGTTTCGGAATGTGGACGCCATACCTTGACGGTCAGGTCGTTGGAGGCAGTGACGACGGCGGAATTATTGTTTGCGAGGACAATGTCGTTGATCCAGGACATATGCGCCTGGGTCTGGGAGCGAAAGGTGGTCTTGGGCTTCTTCTCGGGCGGGGATGCGCCGCCCTTCAGGTCGAGGCCGAGGTCCCACGCGCAGACGACGCCGTCGCGGGCGCCGGAGTATCTACATATCGGAGCGAGCCCGTCAGTGCCTGTCGACGCAAGGTGGGCTTCGAGGCTTTGGAATCGTGTGTCGGGTGCTTACAGAATGCCATTGTCCTTGTCGACAGCGAGGCCGTTGACGCCGAGTCTGTGGCCGCCGCCCTGGGAGCCAGCTGGGAGCTCGAGGACTACCGGGACGTCTACGATTAGCACGACTGCCAAGATGTACGGTGGGAGCACGGCAGAGACGACAACCTCGCGATTGCAGAGGTCTGATGCGCTCGACCGCGTGGACGTGCGGGGTTACGTTGTCGGGCTCGGGGCTGTTGCGACGACAAGCGCGGCGGCAGCATACGAGCGGCGACAGCGAAACAGCACAGGCGCAGCGGGAGTGGCAGAGAGACATACCGTAGCTGATCCTCTGGCGCGCCTTCTTGGCCATTTCGAGCGGTAGGGCGGGGCCGGATTACTGATTACGCATGCAAGAAGGTGAGGATGCACTGTGATGGCGATAACACGGCTATGGAAAGCAAAACAGGCAGAAGAAGCAATGGTACTGGAATGACGATGGTGATGGTGCAAAGATGGAGGTTTGGCGGTTAAGGGTACGTAGGGTATGATGTATGGGCAGGCGGCGGGTGGATGGGATGGGCACATCAGACGGGGCGGGAGGATGGGGTGGGCGAGGCTAGGCAAGGCGCACCTCCCGTGTGGTGTCGGTGTCGGTGTCACTGCTGGTGGTGGTGGTGGTGGTGGTGCCCATAATCGTGTTGGTGCAGGCGCATGTCGAGTGCTGTTGGTGGTGTTGGGAAGGATCCATCCATCGCTGCGACCTGAGGTCGGGGTAGGTACCAGGGAGGTGCAGCGTGCAGCGTGCTTGCTACCTCTCAGTGTGAGTGCGCGTGGAGGAGGAGTGGGCGGGGTGGGTTTGGCCAGATGCAGGAGCTAGGTGAGGTGGGCAGGGGAGGGAAGGTACCGATTTTATCTTTTCCACGGGAAGCGAGACGTGGACTTCGTCATTTGCATCTCTGCTCCTCCCTCCACGCCCCTGGACAATCAATCAATCTACTCGAGCAATTGAGTTTGTCTGCCTGCACCCTCAATGCCCCAGGAACCCACGCACCAGATATTGGACCCTTCAGATCGCATATCGCTGGCATGAACTCGACTCGACGGGACGAACATGTCAGCTCTGGTTCTGGTTGCATGCAAGCTTTCCTTTCCATTCATGCGGTTCGCTAGCCAGGCATGGCAGACAGGCAAGGTATGTACCTTACAGAGAACACCACCACCTCAGCATCAATCAGCATGACATGACCGGGGGCACGTATCATTCATTGGATTCGTGCAAACACGCATGGCTCGCCGCTAGCGCCCCCAATGGTCCCAGGTGTCAGGTGCGGTCCAATGCTGCATCAGCATCAGGACCCTCCCAATGTCTCCCCGTCAGGTCCCCTCTGAAGAACTGTGCAACATGCATCGGTGGCCCAAAACATGGCGCTGGGAACTAGTCCATCTCCATTCGACGAACCATTCAATCACCTAGATCAAGCTCAACCCCAAGACTCCAGTCACGTTCCAGAAGCACAGAGATGCGCATTGTAAGTTCATTAGTGTCCCTCTAGAAGGTGGCAGGTTGCTAGTGTCCGAATGACAGAAATGCCAGTGGCTGGGGAGCAGCCAATAAAGGCTGGAAAAGGGAAAGAGCCACCCGAAAAAAAAGCATGGACCGCCGATCCCCCTCCTTCCTTCCTTCTGCTCGGGTCGGTCCAACGCCTGCCATGAGGTGCCTTCAAAGTCTCCAACGGAAGCTGCCCACCGTCGCCGTAAAGCCGGTCCTGCCTGCCCCGAAAAGCTGGCTCTGCAAATGGCAAGTCCAGGTGGGGCTGTCACCAACCCGCCCCTGCCCCGAGAGCCCGGCCCATAATGCCCCGCGTTGTTCTTCCGTGTCACATTTGCTTCTGCCAACTTCCAACTCCATCATGAAAATCAATTTTGCCTTTCCGCATCCATGCCACAGCCATTCATCTCTCGATGCTCCTCGAATCGTCGCAAGCTTCCGTGATTATCCCGCCAACATGTAATCGAACGCCGCGATTTCTAGCGTAGACGCGGATTACCGATGTCAACAAAGCTGAAGCGACCATCTTAGTCGTCCAGATCCATGCGCTTCGTAGCCGCAACGAGCTGCTGCAGTCCAAGCACGCTGTTCCGAGCATTCTTCTCCGTGACCGCATCGTCCGGAGCGGCATCCCGGGCACGGCGGGCGTCCTCTGCACTCATCGTCAGCTCCAGATTCTCCTCTGCCTCATCGGTGACATCTCGATAGCTTCTTACCAAGCAACTGCTTCAGCTCCTTCTCCTCGCGAATGCAGGTCTTGCAGCGGCCGGTGACGGGGCGGGTTGCCTTCTTGATGTTGCCATCGCAGAGGGGGTGGGGGATCTGCTTCGGCTGCTGGTCGGGCAGGTGGATCGTACGCTCGAGGGTGAAGTTGCGCGACGACTGGAAGAGGGAGCTTCCCCGGGCCGAGGCGCATTTGAAGGTGTTCTGGTAGTGCTTGTGCATGCACTCCACGTAGAGGGTGGAGATGATGATGCACATCGCAGCGGTTGGAAGGATCTGAGGAGGTCGGGTGAGATGGGGAGAGGAAGTGGAGGGCGAGGTGAGTGAGTATCGTGAGGTGTCAAACTGCTATTGGGTTTTGCTTGGAGCACTGGAGAAGTACAGGGTCCGGAGTGCGAAGGGAGCAAAAAGAATTGTTCAAGTGGTGGTGATGGGTTTGCTCCCGTTGCGCAGTTGCCAAATCAGAAGGAGTGACAAGTGGGCAGAAGCTCAAGGTGAGCTCGAGGTGAGCCTGAACTGGCAGCCTATGCTATTGTGAATACATGCTGCGTATTCGTTCACATACGAGATTCACCACTTTGTCACCTATGAGAGCTTTCAATAGCACGGGCATACGAAGGTAACAAGACAACAATGGCCTCAAAGGGCAGACCGGCTGGGAGTTGCAATTCTCAGTCACCTCAGGTCAGGTCTGGTACCTAGACACACAAAACAAAAACATCACAGCTCCATTTTGATAAAAGTTGCTTGACTATAGCCATTATGATGCTATAAGAGTCTTCAACCACACTGACTATGAGATCGTAGGTCTCTTCTGGCCGACTCTCCAACCAGGACCCAACTCAACATCAGGGGCAGACATACATTTCGACAAAAGTTAGCACAGCATGCAAGACAGAACATGGGCTAAGCTTCTATTCCTATGCTTTTGTCTAAACCAATATTTTCTGAGCATGATGATATATTCTCTCCTCTATACTATCAGTCCGAGCCTGGATCACCATATTAGAAGCCCGGGGAGTCGTCTCCCTTATTCCGCTAGGCCTCTTCAGCAACGGCTTTTTCCCCGAATCTGAGGGGAATCGATGTCTCGTCGTCGTCTGGAGCAAGATTAGCTGGCCATTCAGGCGCACATGGCTTTCCGTTCTTGGCTGCAGATGTCGTGATTGCTCAGAATTAAGCTTATATCCTCATGCTTTGGACAGCTCAAACTCTCGTCTTAGCGCCCGGGACCCCCTTCCCTGCGCCCAATCTAACACCGAAATCGCGACATCTGAAAGAGCTCCGCGGGTACGTGTTCCGCCAAAGAAATTAGGTAACCTCTGCAACGGCCAAAGAAGGGAAGCTTGAGATACGTGCCAGCGGCGACATTGACAATCTAAGATGCCATTCCGCGATCACGTCCGGGGCGCGAAACCAGTCCCGAAGATCTAGCGGTCCCCGGGTCTCAGTCTCCCACAGCATACTCCCGTCCCCACAACCCGCGGGCTGTCCGCAGAGGCACGAGTCAAGCGGAGCCCGCACCAGCGCCTCGAATACAGTGAGTCCTCCAGCACAGCCTTTCGCCTGTGGCTACTCTACTTCTCTCGGTGAATTGCCAGGAGTCCTGCGAAGATCTCTGAAGAAGTTGCCAAAACGAACGTCAAGTATCGCGACGAGAGGAGTGTCTTCTAGACAATTGGTATTATAGAACCGCCGGGACACCATCACGTACCCTAGCTCAGCCCTGCCCACCGCCCCTCCGGCGATGTCTTGCAGGGACAATCAGAACCACGATAGATTGTAGCCATCCGATCATCCTTCCCGCTCTCGCACGTCAGATCGGACCTGCTCGGTATCAGGCCCGGCGTCATCCCATATATTTAGCTTCCGTGTTTAGTGTGGGAGCCGGCCTGCCGTGTGGGAGCCGGACCCCTTTACCGGGACCTACTCCAGCTTTTCGCCGGCCGGGTCGAGAGAGTGGCGCCGCTCGAACGGCAATGACGACGGGGCTTGACTTGTTGCTTACAATAGGTAGATTAAGGAGGAACTCAATTTACATTTTTCTTGTAGGAATGGGACTCGATCGCTGATAGATAAGAGGAGGAGAAGCCGTCTCTTGCGATCTGGAGTTCTCAGCTTCATTGTCTTCATCCTCTCGTCGCCATCCCAACACTCGTTTCCATTCGTTACTACATTCTTTTGCATCATATCGCCTCACCCAAAAAGACCCCAAGGAGCATTTCAAGATGAGATCTGCTGCCGTCCTGTTGTTCATCGCCTCCCCCCTCGCCGCATCGGCTTTCATCGTGGGGGCTTACGAGACCGTCAAAGATTGCCAGGAAGCCTGCCCTGCATCTGTAAGTAACGACACCCATCCAAGATCTCTGTCAAAGAATTTAACTGATAATATTGGTTTTGGGGGAAATCTAGTGTGATAGCTATACTTATGATTTCCTAAACTGCACCATCAGCACCGACAGCTGGAACCCTCAGTAAGCCTCTCGTCTCCTATGCATTTGTGTTTTCGTGGTATGGAGCATTGTGCTAATTAATCACCTCTGTAGCAGTTACTGCAACTGCAAAGAGAGACCTGCGAAGAAAAGATCTTCAAGAAAATAGACGAGTCACGACCTTGATCGACGCCCCCAGCAACGCATCAATCGGATCGCTCGGTGTCGGGTTCGGTATTTCATGTGGGCTTCTTCCCACAAATTTAGCTTCCCGTCATATTGGATGGGATCCGCCCTATTCCCCGAGGAGATGGACTTTCAGTCCTTCTACTATATGGAATTCGTACACCGCTCGGGTTTTTGTGAATATGGAAATAGCGGGACGGGGGCTGGCGGCATGAATCGTTGTTTTGTTGATACGGGTCATCTTTGCGGAGTTTGGGGAGTTTACGAGATCTCCTCGGGGAAGGGAATTCCGATGGCGATGATAAATGGGAGTCGGTTTTCGTCGTTATTCGGATAGATGATCTTCATCCTGCACACGCAAATCATATCCTTCCTATCAAATTGTATCGCAAACCGTTCCGTCTGTCACCATGAGATCCTCCGCCCTCCTGTTGTTCATCACCTCGCCCCTTGCCGTCCTGGCTTGGACTGGCCAGGTTTACACCACCCAGACTCAGTGCCAGGCGGAGTGCCCTGCAGCTGTACGTTTGGACACCTAGAAGGTCTTGCTGGATGTGTTGCTGATGCTTCGACAGTGCTCGAGCCAGAATGGCGCGTATGACGGATGCTCCGGCCCCGGTGTTGCTCAGTCCAAGTAAGTGTCCTAAGCTGGTGTACCGTGTTGGTGTCTTGGTTTGCTGATTGTCTCTAGCGTCTACTGCAACTGCAAATAGGGAGATGTGGTTGATGAAGGGTATGAAGTAGGTGGGAGAGTGTGACTAGGACTTCTGACTTCGTGAAGCACTTGTACCTAGTCTTCACCTCACACTCAAATGATCTAAGATATTTAAGTCCCGATTTGCACCGCTTCTTTCACTCAAGCCACACGCAAATGAATGGCGTTGTTGGACTTGCTGCTTACATGACCCATACTCATCGCCTGCCGATTTACCTCGTGAAATGCCGCTCCAGGATATGTCAGAGGTTTCCTTTCAACCTTGTTGAGGCGGGGTTTATATCGTCATGAATACGAGACGGACAAAACTGCCACTGAACAATACTATCTTTGGCTGTCCATTTACACAACATAAGGTAGGACATGGTCCTTTCGTGCCACTCAGTAGAGGTAGCTGAGGTTGGCTCATGACAATTCACTCGGTCCAAAGGTGAGTAAGATATCACCAACACGTTGACTGTCACAAATTGTGGAGGTTTGGAAGTATAAGGAAGTAGGGCATTAATATATCCTGCCAGAGGGACAGAAAGGCCTTGCCGAAGGTCAGGGTTCGAGATCTACTTAGCTTCCCTATCGCAGATGTTCTATTTATCAAGAATGTAATTTTCCTAACCAAATATAATCGGTGTAATAATCCGGTGCAGAGCATTTTCGGCCACAAACGCCACATGGTCGTGGTTGGCGGAGACTAGGTGACTCACAGACAAGAGCAACACTGAAAAGAGACGAGTCTGAGACTCAGGCGTCACCATCTGTCGTCTATTAGGTTAACTAACACACCAAAGATAGAGGCTGGGGACACTTTACGTACCACTACGTACCACTCGCATGACATGCTCAAGCTTGGTCTCCGTGTATGACCAGCGCTGACCACGCGGAAATTACCTATTGTGCTGCCGACTTATATACAGACCTGACGGAGGTTAGAGTTTATTGCTAGCTCCTTCTCCAGAGCATACTAACTGTCCTACTTTCACCAAAAGGAGCTCGGCATGAAGCTTGAAATAGGGAGGGAAATATCCTGGCGCTGATGCATGCGGTAAAAACAGAGAGCCAGAGGATAGAGCCAACTCTACACTCACCTGTATCACACTCGCAACCCATTCAAAAGGAGGGAGTAATACAGTGAGATGAAGTTTCAAGCTCATCAGGGAAGGAAGACGGCAGCCATCAAGGCCTCAGATCCAAGCGATGTTGGAGCAACCACGAATTGCGCAGTGTCGAACGTTCCACGGGCCCCGTTCTGGGAGTTATAAATGTAGAAACTAAGAACTTCAAAGAGAAATCAAACCAATATAGTTGTATTTCATTCCGGCTTCTCTATCACTCAGTCCTGTGAACCCGCAATGACGTCTCATCAAGTCACGGTGCAATCCCTGCCTAGGTAACGATCAACCTTGCGTCAGTCTCTTACACTCAGTCTTCGTTGATTAGCTCCCAAATAAACACAAACCGACAGAAATAGACGGATAGGATGAAGAAAGCCAAGAGTATGTCAAAGTGGGACACACGGCTACAACACAGCGTGCGATGATGGTGAATGGGGATAAGTGAAATTGGCTTCTAGCTGCCTACCAGACTTCACAACGCCACCAGACAAGTCCAAGGTATTGTTTGCTCAACTATTGGAAATTCATAAGAAAGCGTATCTCATATAGAGGAAGCCTGAAAGCTGGAGTTGTATGCGAACTAAATACTGGTATATCAAGGTCTCTGCGACGTCGGTCAACGGGGGGTTATTGAAAGAATCATGTAACCATCTGGCATTCTCATTTCTCGAAACGAACTTAGCTAACACCAGCATCAAGAGAATCACAGAAATTCCGGCATTTTGGGTTCAGAGTATGCCTTGGACCCTTCCTGCAGCGCTGCTATCGTTGATACTATCCACTTGGCTACACCTGTATACACGTCCAACACCAAAGACTGCCACATAGGTGACTTCTGAACTACACTCTGAGGATTGAATGCATGAGACAACTGGCAGTAGATGACGCTGTGGTAACAGAATCCATCAAGATAGGTTTAAAGTATCAGAGCCTACTGATGAAGAGGACATTTGGCTGCAATATCAGTATTCAAATCTAGACCTCGACTTTATATTCCCTTGGTAACTGAGGTGGGAGAAGCAATCCCGCTTCACGATAAGCAGGGATCAAGGACTGGTTTGACGTTCAGGACATCATGGTAAGTGGCACGTCAGAATTGATACAAATAACAGCGTGCGTGGCTGCAGTTTCCTGCGCCACTTCAAAGCTACTGGCAGTCTACAGTCTGTTTAGAGAGGTAAGGCTACTCTCTTGACCTGTCCAATGTCCATCACCTTGATCATCAGATATTTCCATCCACACAGCTGAGAAGCGTTCTTACCACAGTTGGCCAAACCAATCGTTAGGATCAATCAGACATGACACTACAAGCTGAAAGTTCCATTATAATCCAAAAAAGATGGCACCGTGCCTTCGGTCTAGAACCCGTCTTGACAAGCTGACCAGCTACTGGTTGTGAGTATCAGTGAACCGGTAGCCGCGTTCCCTCATCTCGATCATGGATGGGTGGCATTGGAAAAACCCCATACGGTTGAAAGAGAGATATTAGAAATGAGAGGAAGATTATAAATAGAGGTCAAATGGTGGTTCCAGACGTAAAGACTACCACTGGACTAGACTCACACGCGAGGCATACCGTCCGCATCGAACCACTGGTTTTCAATCTCGCTCACAATACAGAGTCTACCACAGGCAAACCACTGAGGGTTTCACCTGAAATAGCAAGACTCGTGAAGGGAATCAGATCAGCGCCAGCAGTGTTCGTTAGCAGGACGCCGTCGCCACGCAAGGAGTTGGTTTTCGTCAAAGCTCATTTGCGGGTTCTTATGTATGAAAAGATGGACAAGTTTATGTTAATTCGAACAACTGCTATCTTTGTAGCAGTGTACCGACATCATTCGGGGCATGAACGGACAGGCCGGTCACCACCCGGCTCCGGTGGCCGATGTGGGGCCGGCCCGGACACGCTCCGTACCCAATCACGACGGTAAAGGGTTTTACCGATATTACAAGACCCAGTCGCATGGCAAATGAATTGAACTCTAAGCAATAGTAGTCCGGGACATTTGGTTTTTTGAGCCTTGATTTCTTCCGTGTGGACACTACCAGAGTTGAAGAAGAGGTGCCATCACAATTTCCAGCATCGTCGCTACCTGCGCCCCGTCCCTCGCCCCTAACGTTTTGTGTGTATTCGAGAGACGCACAATGTGGCTACAGAGAAGCTTATAGTTACTTCGTGGGTATCAGGAGGACGGTGTTTCTTTTCGGCAGTCTGAGATGGAGAGCGGGTCGCGGACTTTTAACCAGCCTCCATTCGTTGACGATCCTTCCATTGGCTGCAGAGCAGACGAACTTTGCCGTGCCGATACGCTTTCATACTCCCGCAAAAGATTGCCGCAAGACACCAAATCGTTCCAAATAGCGCCGAGACGCCTCTCAGATCAGGGCATCTATAAATGAGTTCAACAGCAGGCCGTTGTCAGCACGAACGCAGCACAATGATCATCGTCTGAGGCTTAAGCTTCACGCACTGCACGGAGAAATCCCATCTCATGCATCATCGCGCTATGCTTCATTCCGAACCTATGGGAAAGGCCATCTTCAAGAGGGTTGTAAGGGTGAGGTGGGCAAACCTGATTTGTCTGTATATGCTTCATTCCGAACGTTAAGCGTAACACTTAAGAACTTAAGGTTTTAGCTCTTTCCCCTGGCGTCCGTCATAGGAGAGGTATTACAACCAGTATTCAAGCATTCATCACCACGGCTAAGTTGGCCTCGAAAGATGGTGATAGGTCATTGCGAGACTGGGTCACTCCACGGACAAACAAGCAAACAGTGACATCAGTTTTGATTGCTCAATTTCTTGAGACGGTAGAAAGGAACCGTCTTATATACTATTTACCCCACGCCTGAGTGGTCCAGGTCAGTCATCGCCACGCCGTTGCTGGAGTACACAGGCTCGCGGCAAAAGCCTGTATCCAGAGTGATATGGATAGTAGGTAGCCAAAGTCACATGTAACTAGATGGAGCAAAATACTGGTCGAACCCGTTCTCGTCTGCCAGAGACAGATGCGAACAGAAGCAGAAGCGAACCGCACCGTATGCCCTTTTCTTTCGGGAAGGGCTACGAACGATCGTCACATCACGTCTACCACAGCAGGCAAATGCTGATATCCGGGACAGTGTTCACGGGGTATTCCTCTACGACACACTACAAGA